TCCAGGGTCAACATGGCTTTTCCTCCAGAGCCGCGCCGTGTTCCAAGAGCGCGCGGATTTCGCCGCCGGGGCCCGACAGCCCCTTGTCGCCCCGCAACCTCTTGCCGCCCGTGCTCTCGCCACCCGCCGTGACCCGCCCGGTCGCGGCCTCAGTGGGCCAGAAGCACCGGCAGGCCGCTGTGTGTCAGCACTTCGCGCGTGGCGCCGCCGAGCACGAACTCGCGCAGGCGGCTGTGGCCGTAGGCGCCCATCACCAGCAGGTTGGCGTCCGCCTCGCCCGCGGCGCTCAGCAAGCCTTCCCCGGCGCCGTCGTTGCGCACCGCCGTGCGGGCCCGGGCATCGACACCGTGGAGGGCCAGCCACGCGACCGCCGCATGCGGGTCCTTCACGCCGGTCAGGCTCGCGTCCCCTTCGTCCTGCAGGCTGACGACATCGACCGCCTCGGCGCCGGCCAGCAGCGGCAGGGCCGCCGTCACCGCCCGCGCGCACTCGCGCGAGCCCGACCAGCCGATCACGACCCTGCTGCCGACCGCGTCCTCGAAGCCCGGCGGCAGCATGAGGACCGGACGCCCGGCCTCGAAGAGCGCCGCCTCCAGAGCCGGGGCATAGGCGCCTTCGCTCTCGGCATCCGGGCGGCCGGTCGCCACCAGATCGAACAGCAGCGCGCGCTGCGCCGTCTCGCTGTCCTCACGGCCGGTCACCTCGCGCCAGGCGCAGACGAACTTGCCGGCCTCGGCCTTGCCGTCGGCCTCGATCGGCTTGGCGTCGACCCCGCGGCAGGCCGCCTCGTAGGCGGCGCGCGCCGCCTTGGCGTGCTCCTCGCCGCTCTTGCGCAGATCGGCCGAGATCTGCTCGACCATGGCGCCCGACATGCCTTCGCCGACCAGGGGAATCGAGCTTTCCGGGTCCAGCTTGACGTGCAGCGCCTCCACGTAGGCGTCGAACCGCCGGCCGAGCTGGACGGCCGCGGACATCACCGCGGAGCTGGCGTCGCCACCGTCCACGACGGCGAGCAGGGAGGCGATGGACATGCGTTGCGAACCCTTCTGTTTGTTCTGCTTTCCCAATGCTTCCGCCCATCTAGGCGCAGGGCGTCACGATCCCAATGCCCACCTTGACAGGCATTGATGTGCGTCAACGAACGTGGCGGTGCGCCGCCGCCCGCCTTCTCCGCCCCGCACGGGCGCCGGGCTCAGGTGCCGTACTGCGGAGTCTCTTCGGCCAGCACGTGGGGGTCCTGGTGAATGATCACCTCGGCCCCCGGGAACTCGGTCTGCAGCTCGGCCTCGACCGCCTCGGCCACCGCGTGGGCGCGATAGAGCGTCATGCCGCCGTCCATCTCCAGGTGGAGCTGGATGAAGGTCCGCGGCCCCGACATGCGGGTCTTCAGGTCGTGCACCCCCAGCACCTCGTCATGGGTGCGCACCACGGCGACGATCCGGTCGCGCTCCTCCAGCGGCAGCTCGCGGTCCATCAGCATGTCGAGCGCGTCGCGCGCGATGCGATAGGCGCTGTAGAGGATGTAGAGCGCCACGCCCAGGCCCATCAGCGGGTCGGCCCGCAGCAGGCCGAACTGGCTGACCAGCACCAGCGCCACGATGACGGCGCCGTTCATCAGCAGGTCGGACATGTAGTGCAGGGAATCGGCCGCGATCGCGCTGGAGCCGGTGCGCTGCACCACATAGCGCTGGAACCGCGTCAGCGCGAAGGTCAGCAGGATCGACACCGCCATCACCGCGATGCCGATGGTGCCGTGCGGCACCGCCTCGGGCTGGATCAGGCGCTGGATCGCCTCGATCGCCACCAGGATCGCCGAGCCCGTGATCAGGCCCGACTGCACCAGCGCCGCCAGCGGCTCGGCCTTGCCATGGCCGAAGCGGTGCTCCCGGTCGGCCGGCACCAGCGCCTGGCGCACGGCCAGCAGGGTGACCAGCGAGGCCGCCACGTCGAGCAGGGAATCCACCAGGCTGGACAGCAGGCTCACGGAGTCGGTCAGCCACCAGGCGCCCAGCTTGACGACGATCAGCACCGTCGCCGTGGCGACCGAGGCATAGGTCGCCAGCTTCATCAGTCGGCCGGCGCGCCGTGCGTCCAGCCGCTGGGGCTTCTGGGGGTTGTGGGGTTTGGTGGCGTCTGCTGTGGCCGGAGCCATGAAGGACTCGCTTTCGAAAACCGCCGCCTTGAGGCGTGACGTTCAGGGATAGAGGCGCTCGGTGCGCCAGCCGGTCGGGCTGTCCGCGCTGCGATGATAGACCAGCCGGTCGTGCAGGCGGAACGCGCCGTCCTTCCAGAATTCGATCAGGCGCGGCGTGACCCGGAACCCCGACCAGTGAGGCGGCCGCGGCACCTTGCTCAGACCGTATTTGGCGGCATACTGCGCCACCCGCTTCTCCAGGGCGTGGCGGCTTTCCAGCGGCCGCGACTGCTGCGAGGCCCAGGCGCCGATCTGACTCTGCTTGGCGCGACTGGCAAAGTAGGCATCCGCCTCCGCCGGGTCCACCTGCGCGACCTCGCCCTCGACGCGCACCTGGCGGCGCAGCGACTTCCAGTGGAACAAAAGTGCGACCTTGGGATGCGCCAGGATGTGCACGCCCTTGCGGCTTTCGTAGTTCGTGTAGAAGACGAAGCCGCCGCCGCTGACGTCCTTCAGCAGCACCATGCGGACGGCCGGCATGCCGTCGGGCCCGACGGTTGCAACGGCCATGGCGTTGGGATCGTTGATCTCCTGGGCCTTGGCCTCCTCGAGCCAGGCCTCAAAAAGCGCGAAGGGGTCGTCGTGAGGCTGGTCGGCGAACATGAAAAACTCCGCGTGGCGGGACGGCGAGGCCGGCGAGAAGTGATCCGGATCATTGACGGGGATGCGCCCCCGGCGCGATCCGTATCACCGGCGAAAGCAACGGCTGGACCGAAGTATAGGCGGCCTGCCCGCGGCTCCAACCCTGTCGCACGGCACGGCTGGCACGTGGATAGAGCAGAACGAGAGGCAAGCTCAATGATGCGCAAATTCGCAATCGTGACCCTGGCGGCCCTGTCCCTGGGCCTGGCCGGCTGCAGTGACACCAACGGTCCGGGCACCAAGCAGGTCGTCGGCGCCCTGGGCGGCGCGGCCCTCGGCGGCTTCGTGGGCTCGCAGATCGGCGGCGGCACCGGCCGCCTCATCGCCACGGCTGCGGGCACCGCGATCGGCGCCTTCGTCGGCTCCGAGATCGGCCGCAGCATGGACGAGGTCGACCGCATGAAGGCGTCGCGCGCGCAGCAGCAGGCGACCAGCGCGCCGATCGGCCAGACCATCACCTGGAACAACCCCGACAGCGGAAACCAGGGCTCCTACACCCCGACCAACGACGGCTACACCCAGAATGGCCGCTACTGCCGCCAGTTCCGCGAGACCATCACGGTCGACGGCCAGACCGAGACCGGCACCGGCGTCGCCTGCCGCCGGGCCGACGGCACCTGGGAAATCATGAGCTGAGCCGGGCCGACGGCGACCGCCGCCGGAAGCGGCTGGAAGGGGCGTCGTCCCGCGCGGACGGCGCCCTTTTCGCGTCTGCTCTCTTGCGTCGCGGCCTTGCGCTACCCACTAAATAGGCCCCGAACGGTCTGATCTGAGGGGAAGACTCGCTGCCGATGCGCGACCCTTACGAGGTGCTTGGCGTCACCCGCAGCGCCAGCCAGGACGAAATCAAGACGGCTTATCGCAAGCTGGCCAAGGAGCTGCATCCGGACCTCAATCCGGGCAACGCCCAGGTCGAGCAGCGCTTCAAGGAGGTCTCCCAGGCCTACGGCATCCTGGGCGACGCCGACAAGCGCAAGCGCTTCGACGCCGGCGAGATCGACGCCAGCGGCCAGGAGACGCCGCAGCGCGGCTACTACCGCAGCTACGCCGAGGCCGGCGGCGGCGGCGCCGGCGGCAAGTACAGCCGCTTCGCCTTCGACGAGGACTTTGCCGCCGACGACATCTTCGCCGACCTGTTCGGCGGCGCCTTCCGCCGCGGCGAGTCGGGCGGCCCGCGCAGCCGCAGCCGCCAGCGCGGCGCCGACGTCCACTACCGCGTCCAGGTCGGCTTTCTGGAGGCCGCCACCGGGGTGCGCAAGCGCGTCCAGCTCTCCGACGGCAAGACGCTGGAGGTCAGCGTGCCCGAGGGCATGGAGGACGGCCAGACCCTGCGCCTGAAGGGCAAGGGGCGCCCCGGGCTCTACGGCGGTCCGGACGGCGATGCCTACCTGGAGGTCCACATCGACCCCCACCCCTTCTTCACCCGCAAGGACAACGACGTCCACCTGGAGCTGCCGGTGACCCTGGCCGAGGCGCTGCAGGGCGCGCAGGTCCAGGTCCCCACGGTGCACGGCAAGGTCGCCATGAAGGTCCCGGCCGGCGCCAACAGCGGCACCGCCCTGCGCCTCAAGGGCAAGGGCATCAAGGACCGCAAGTCCGGCCTCTACGGCGACCAGTACGTCAAGCTGAAGGTCGTGCTGCCCGACCAGCCCGACCAGGAGCTGGTGGATTTCGTCGCCAAGTGGTCGCAAGCCCACCCCTACGACCCGCGCCGCAAGGCTGGGCTGGACTGACCGCCGCGCCCGAGACCGCCCCAGTTCGAGACTGCCGCCCGCCGCCAGGGAGTTGCCCCATGCTGCTGACGCTCGAAGAGGTGATCACCCGCATCGACGCCGAGGGGCTGACGGTCAGCCGCGAGCAGCTCGTCTACTTCGCCGAGCAGCAGTGGGTGCGCGCCCAGGAGGACCAGGGCGCCTGGTACTTCGACGAGCAGGACGCCGCGCGTGCCCGCCTGATCTGCGAGCTGCGCGAGGACATGGCGATCAACGACGAGGCGGTGCCGCTGGTCCTGCGCCTGCTCGACCAGGTCTACGCCCTGCGCGGGCTGCTGGGCGAGGTGCGACACGCCCTGCGCGCCCTGCCCGCCGAAGAGCGCGCCGAGATCGAGGAGAAACTGCGGCACGCGCTGGAGGGGTGACCCCCGCCCCGGCGCCCCGCGGAACGCCCGCTCGGCCGTGCGCCTAGCCGCGCACGCGATCGCGGAGCGCCGCCGCCGGCGTGCCCGCGGGCTCCGGGCGCTCCGCCGGCCCGTCTGCGCGCGTCTCCAGCAGCTCGGCCAGCGGCGTGCGCGCCAGTTCGCCGCT